GGGATGATGTTTCAAGTACTGGTAGATTCCATTAGGAAGATATTCTGTAAGACTGGAGGACAGCAGGGGTTATCAGCGGAGGAAGACGTAATGGAAATAAAGTATTGCCTAGTTGACAATCCAAGCACTGAGAGAAATCATAACGGGGCGTCGACTTTTTGAGGGCATGGACTTCGCATGGGATGTCGGCCAACAGTTCCAATAATACGCCTTGGCAGGGGTTCATTGAGAATTCTTTCTTTTTTTTCCTTCCCCCCCCCCCCCATCTCCCCTTCCTTCTCTCCTGGCACATGGCTGAGACTTGTGAATGAACACGGGTAGTGGGGTCGTGGGGTCGGGCGGTGAGACAATTGTAATCAGGGTGACTCGAGACGCTGTTATTTCTTCGTCTTGGCACAGGCTCCTCTTCTCCTGGGGTCGATAAACTAGGCTTCATGCAACCTACATTTGATTACAAATTGGTTCCCGCTTAACGTATTCGGACATACAAAAAAAAGCCCTTCGGCCTGTTTTCGTTTTTTTTTCTTCATTGTTTTCTTTTTTTCTTTTTCATTCTTCCAAACAAGCCTCTTTATTTTGAGCTCTCACGACCACTTCACAGCTTTTACAGCCATGAATTGCCGCTGGGAGAAAACAGATGCGTGACAGAAATTCGATTACGCATAGCCCTCGTAAACAAAGGCGGTAATTAATGACAGGCTTTACAGCGGTATTCCAAAGAGGGCAATCTCATATGCAAGCAGAAGAAGGATATCTGACTGTCGGAGGATCGAATTCTCTTGCGATGAAAAACAAGAGACCGAGGCGAGCCTTCTCTTCGTTTATTGGGCCCGCTTCATTCCGCCGAATCAAAGGATGCCCCCGACTGAGATCGCTTTGCTGATCTCATTACCCCCTCCTGACTCGTGTTCGGTCCTACCCCAGCTGTCATCTGCAAGCATCTCGAAGAGGAGGGGATTCGGCGTCATCGTCACGTATTGCCCAAGAAAAGAAGCTCCTGAAAGGGTCACGCACTGCAGAACGTGTCCTTGGCGTTTACATTTGGGTAGCTCCCTTTTCGAATCCCATCTCAAGGTGTCGGGTCAAAACGAACCCCTGTCCCAGGAACACATTTTCACCCGAGGCAATTCTCATGGAAGCCAGTTGGGGAGGCCGACTGATTTATGAGTTTATGGCTTACGTTTTATCGTAACATGTGATATGTTCAACGAGGAGTGCTCGATCCAACGTGCCTCCACACCTTTTGATCATTAATTCGTTCACGCGTCCATTATAAAAGGGAACTACGTATTACTTTATTGAATAATCAATTGTTTGAATAACAATAATTACAAGCTGACATAAGTGGCTCTGGGCGAATTCTGGTTATTTGTCACTCCGGCTCTCGGTGAACGGATGACGGCGTAATCACAAGTAAATATAGTCTATCAACTTGCATGTGAATGGCTTACGGAAAATTTGTCGCATTTATCATGGGGCTTTAGTGACTTCCCACTTAACGGGAGTCTTACTCGATACGTTCACCTTGCTGCAAGGGGTTAGTTGACTGGACTGCATAAACTTCACTCTCCGAGATCAATTTCCCTCGAGATGACACTGCCTGCCTGGAATTGCACAGGCAAGATACGAGATAATTGAAGAATGGAATGATACGATTGACTCGAATGAAACTGCATTTGTATGATGACCCCTAACCCAATAAACCGCACAGGATGTAAATCAAACAGCGCAAATCGTCTCAGGGACGATTTCTTTGAAACTATAGCTTAGTGCTTGTCGAATCTGGGGACATGTCTTCCTAAAGACGTGTCGGAAATCCAAGATCAGAGCAACTAGCAATAACAATTTGGCAAACCAAGTTACGCACAGCACCTTCTCTAGGTGCCGTCATTAATGCAATATGAGTCATGCGTGATGCGGTAAAGCATTTATCATACGTCATTTTGCAGCCTTAAAGACTACAAAATTCGGGGCATACTTTCATGTTGATCCGTTGATATTTACGATACATTTCAGAACGACCGTTTCACATCCAGGAAATTTCCGTGGACATCCTTTATATCCTCTGCCTATTCTACACACGAAGCTGGCTGACCTTACGGTTTCACAAGATGGTCGTCTCGCTTCCAGCAGCTCCGATCTGCCACGAGATACAGAAAGACAAGAAAACAAAAGAGCCACATGATTGTCATTGGAGATATGACAAGCGCACTGCCTTATTGTATAATCATTCACAGGGAAGTTGCATGTGCTTTGGCGGGAATGCTATCGGGTGAGAAGATGGATGATAGTGTTATCAACAGTAAGGGTGTTTACGGTCGCGGGGGAGGCCTTCACGAGGAATAGCGTGATGGGAACGAGGAGAACGGACCCTTTACAAACGACAATGATAATGTAGGCTTGGCCTGGGAAAAAAAAAATTCAAACCAGTGAACGTGAGAAGGCGAAGAGGAAGTGAGATGATGCAAGAAGGAGCAATGCCACGCTAGAGTGTCTGGCGTCTTGCCGCTGCCGTCTCGTAATCTCTCCTTTTTTTTCACAGGCGCCAATTGTGTCTCCTCTCGCTCGAGCGCCTTCACTGAAGCTGGAGGTGAGCTTTCATTTATCGCGTCAGCTAACTGGCTATTAATACATTGCATTCTCAAGCGATAAAACCAAGCAAGCTACATTGGCCTCGACCGAGAGAGATAGAGAAATAGAAGGAGGAAGAAGCGGGAGCAAAAGAGAAATAGAGGGAGAAAGAAGCGAGCGAGTGAAATGGAAGGAAGGAAGGAGGGAGGGAGGGGGGGAGGTAGTGAGAGAGAGAGAGAGAGAGAAATATAGCGTGGCTCAGCTCTACGTTCTCTTTCTCCGTAGTTTTGGCGGGAGAAGTTTGGGGTCGTGGAGTCCTCTCGGTAGACTCCTCTGCGGTAGGACATTCTCAAGGTCTTCCACTCCAGAGTCGAGATGCGCTACGCTTCACTGCGTGCCAGACACTTTTGCCGTACGCATTCCTTTCTATTCCCACAGCTACTCCTCTTGCATTCTTCTATCAGTCCGTCGGAAAAGAAGGCAAGACAGTGGGATTACGGAAAAAGAAGTGGGACGCAGTAAGATCTGGTTTTGTCTCCAAAAAGGGTAATCGAGCTGAAGGTTTAAAGGACCGTCTGGAAGCATACTGAGGGAAGGGCACTGCTTTTTGTACAGGTTCAGACGCGTCGTATCGATTCTCCCTCTCTTGTCTGTGTCTCGTAGTACTCGCTCATACGAAAGCGCCAACTCATTGTCAGGAGGAGCTTGCGTGGCGGCCAGAAGGGAAGGCAGGAATGAGGCAGAGGATACATCAGTGCCTCGTGCGTCTGGTTCCGAGCCGGATCGAGTGCCGTCTCCTTCCTAGGCATAGGCAGAGGCGGGCATAGGCCTAGGCATCTTGCTGCTGAGGGTAACCCATAGCTCTCGCTGTGCTGCGTGTATGTGTGTGTGTGTGTGAAGGGGGGGGGGGGGGTAGGGTATGTGTGTGTGAGTGAGTGTGCGTGCGTCTCCTCTCTAAACTACCGGAGAGGCTTTTCAAGCCCTACACTAGCCACACCGCATGCCAGTCTAGACTCGCTCATCCCCAGATTCGGGACTGTTTCGTGCCGGCCGGCCTTGAGGTCCTCCTCTGAGCCTTCTGTCATACTCAACTGGACAGGTTTGCTCTAAATGTTAGTTTTCTGCCCCTTACTATAAGTTAACATATGGGAGGCTGTGTACCGTGCAGTCAAAGCCAGCATAGAATTGAATGGTCCTAGACCTAGGCCTACTTAGCGCCACGGAAGTGACTTGACAGTAAGCTACTATTCTCGCTCGGTTTCTTCTGCAATTTCGCTTCCTTGTCTATTTGTCTGCAGCGATGGTAAGGCCTGTACCTACTCATCCTTCAGGTGTAGCTTGCTAGCCGTGTTCATCGTGAATTGTTGCGTGTTCCCGACTCGCAGAAGTCAAATAGAAGGTCCAAGGAACTCTGGAATGATGAAGCGGTGAAGGCTTGAGTAGTTACATAGGCCCATATATCAGAAGTCGAGTTCTTTCCTCACGTTCGGACCTAATGTGAATATGGCCTACAATCGTTTACGAGAGATATTTAGACTCCATGGTATTTAATCTTACAGTTCCGCACGATTAAGAAGCTGAATAATAGCGTGAGAACGGGTAGGATCGGAATGCGTAGATGCTTTTCATCGTTGGTGTCATTGATGATGAAATTTATGAAAGGCGATTGAATCGGCGTAGCGTTTCGCGCATATTCCACTTCCGCTGCTTGAGAGTACCCGATCTATGGACGACCTTGACCCATGCCAGATCCGATTCCTGCGAGACGCTTCGCTATTCTTCCCTCCTACTCTTTCCCATCATCCTCAAGGTTCCTTCCCTTTCTATTCCTTTTTCGATCGAGGAAGGGATCATTACCCTTTGTCGTCGATGTACCGCCTCCAGTGAGCAATGAGCATACCTCCTTTATGATTTCAGTACCAGTAGCCTATGGCGTCGGACGGTAGTCATCGCATTCAATTGGTAACTTGATGTGCGTGGTAACCTACGCCTCGCCCAAGCATTCTTGAGGATTTCAGAAGAGTACACTCTGCCCTACTTTCGATGAGGACGGTTTTCGCCGATAAACATGTTAGACCTATCTAATCTCCACTTTTTCCGGCGCTGGGATCCCTTTTGATAAAACGCTTTTCATTCAAAGTGCACCTCCGGGCAGCACGAGAGCCCTCGAAATCATCCCTCAAAGTTGTATTGTGGAAACGTAGCCATATCAAAACGGATTACGCAGTTGGGAGTATTGAATGGTGTGGAAATAGATGAGGAGCAAGAAGAGGCCAAGACGACCACCTGCCGGCAGGGGTCCTTTCGTGTCAAAACCGCCTCTTTCATCCTCAGTTCTTTTTCTCTAGTGTTGGCTCCTTTTGGTTGCTGCTGCCAGCTGTCGCCTTCTACATAATTCCCTCTTTTTCCGTCTTCCTCTCTTCCAGATTATGCTGCTGTTATCGCCGGAGACGATGAATGAGGAGGATTTATTGTATCGTGCTAAGCCGTTCCAAGACACGATCAGTGATTCATTCGGCGAAGATCTCATGAGCAGCGAATGGGGCATCCCAAACGATGAAGTCTGGAAGAAATTTGGCGTTGGGACGGCATTGAGGTCTCCATCGCCTTGCCAAGATGATGGGTTAGGCGTAGGCGTTTGTGGTCCTGACAATTTCTGGGAATTCAAGTCTCCATTCACACACGCGAGCGTCTACCGCGATCTTCGTCATGACTGTATGTGGAACGGGAAATGTGGGAGTAATTTCCACGAAAGACCTAGGTGTCACAATCAGGAAGGGTGCCATATATGTGACCCAGGTTCCCACAATAACTTCCTGGCACCCCTGTCACCTGTGAGCAACGAGGATATGGACTTTAATGACCTCTCGTGCATTGGTGATGATGATGCCGACGTTGATGAGGATCCCGAGGTGTGTGAGGATGAGACAGAGCCGGAATCCGGATCCCCCGAGGAGAAAAATGCATCTCTCAGGGATCACTGTTACCTCAGCAATGCCTTCCAAGACGTCCTGCCGACTCCATCCGATTCCGGTGAGTCCATTCACTTGTGTTGTGTTCCCTTCAACACTTCATATAATAGCTACGAGATTGTCAGACTTTCGGGGATTGGGTTGGTAGCAGGTTACCGAGGATCAGCAGGTGCATGCTTCATTCAGCGCAGGGATAAAAGGGCCAAAAATCCATTGTTCATTATCCATTACGACAGGTTCATTCTTTTCGGTCTCTGTTTCTGTTGAATTGGAGTATGGGAAATACTCTTTTTTGTTGGAAGGGTCGATACTTCACCCATATTTCACTCTCAGGTGCGCTGAATCACACTCTTGTCTGGCTTGAAACGCATGAGCCAGATTCCTGTTTGCATCGCCTATGGCCTCATGATTCAGCTGATGAAGTCGAATGACATGGATGTTCCCTTGTCGCAAGGATTATAGCCCCTTTGACGATTGTTTCTCGTGACAACCTGAGGGCTGGGGCTTTTTCGCCGTAAAAGAGAAATATCTTGAATGGCGGCGGTGTAAGCCGAACGGTAGAAGATGCGGGGAAATTTTGGCGATGGACGTATTACTACTGTCATTGCTGTTTCGAGAAGAAATGAGAGGAGGGGGAGGTACAGTAATTAACATTCCTGAAAGAGTAGAAACACAGCAGGTGGTACTGACTGAGCGTTTTAGACAATCTCCTCAGGTAGAAGGGAGGTCTCATTCTCCTCCCGTTGCGATGGCTTCTCTAGCCTCTTCGCCTTCATGCTCCTATATAGTACAGAGCACCTATTCGGAATGGAAGGCGTTGGATTTCTGTGGAAGGCTGAGAGACGTCGCCCCGAGGGAGTATCAGCATAATAGCGGAACTTGAGATACTATTGAGACTTGGGAAGAGGAGTGGATATGGGTTGTTTTTCGACTCTTGCCAGGATTGATGAGCTTGCCGTGGATTGAAGTTTCCCTGTTTTCCGGCATCGGATAGGATTACAAGAAAGGGTTAAGTGAGTCACGCTTCGTTTCTAATACTACTTCTCTCGCTCATTCTTGAGTAGTGATCAAGGCTGGATGCTCTTGAAACGTCGTTAGGAACCTCTTTGAGAAAGGAGGGTAGGAAGAAAAATAGAAAAAGTTGAGGATCTCGAGAATGGAATGAACAGTTGATGCGTCTCCTGAAGCCCAAGTTGTCATTGCATTGACTTCTGGTATGAGGTTTTGCATATTCCCAGTCGAAAGGGGATATAGGTTCCTCGCTTGATTTCCTCTTGGATGTGATCCATCTCACTCTTTTCCTCGTTCATGTTCTGGGGAAGGCCGACTGTCAGGAAACCATCCCAACACTGTGTTTGGCTTTGTTATGTAAACCTATCCCCTCCATTCGGGAGGCATATTTTCAGTTTCACCCCCCTCAGTCGGCCTAAATGTAGTTGAGAGTAGATGAATGAAAGATGGTAATTTGTGATCAAGCAAAAAGGGTCCTTTTGGGTGCGCAAATCGATTGCCTGTTTTCCGCAGACTATGACATGAAAACGAGATTTTAATCTGACGAAATCTGTAGATTCGTACATCATGAAATAAGGAATCGTGAATAAATGTAACTGAACTACAAATGAAGTGCTATTTTGTTTGCGCTTTTCCCCCGTGGCTCGCTTAAATGGTCTATACGCGCTTTCAATGCAACCACAAGTACGATTTGTTACTTTTCGGCGTTTGAGAACCGTATACATCACCTCAAAAATCGAAGCCATGCTGTCCGCCAGTCTCACCGCCGCCCGTCTAAAGTAGACGGCGGCCCTTTTTCTTGCACCTGTAAGGCTTCGTCCTCGGGCTGCAGTCTGAAGCAGGAAATCTGAATACCACATTCCTTCGATTGTAGCTCGAGAATAGTCAAAAAGTGACCGAAAGAGGACGGCCTTTTTTTTTTTGGGACGGAAGTTTGCTCTTCAAGGGAACCCTGTATATTGCATAGCATGACAAATCCAGCCCCAACGTATAGAAGCCTAATACCTCAGGAGGTGGTTCGCCCCCAAAAGACTTTTCTCGCACGGCTACACTCAATGGAGTAGTAGTATAGGAGCCCCTATATTCTATGTGGATGTCTGCGTCCATGGAATGCAGGATCACAGACCCGTGACTCATAGTGATAGCGCACGCCGTCTTTCAGCCACGGACGGCGGTTCACTTCCCAGGCGGCTTGGCGCAGTATCGTGCGTATAATACTGTAGCATTGAAGAATGCTTTCAGGGAAATACTGAACTGAAGATGAGTCATGCTTGGACTTGCCCGAGCCTAAGGGACTGTGTAGTTGGCGGACTTAGGACTGAAAGTATTCAAGGGAGTCCTGTACACTCATTGACCGATGGATTACTTGCTATCTGTGATGAAGTCTTTATCAATTTCAAGCACTGAAGTATAGGGTGCCCAGAACTACACGCAAAAATAGGGGGAAAGGAGCTTCCATTGTGCCTTAGTGCAAGGCCCCTTGATTTGATCACGGCACTGAAGTAACTGGATTCACCCTTGGGAAAGAACTGGTTGGGGCTTCGAGAATTGACATGAGAAAGGCTCTTGTGAGTTTTGGATTTATGCTTGTTTGTTTGATTTTCATCAAGATAGTATTTGCAGCAGAATTATCTGTACACTGCAAATGTGCACAAATGCATATGGACTACAGAAAAACGTGTATTGATCTGTGAATCGACAACATCTCCCACCAATTTAAACTAATGGATTACATGTGGAGTTGAGTTAAGATCGCGTGATCGGATCACGCCCCCAATAGCCATAAAACAGGCTTCGGGACGTGAAAATTAAATATCAGATGTGAACCTAGCTGAGGTTCCCCCCGAACCCAAACATCCCCTACTTATTCAAATTTCAGTTCAGTTCAATTGGAAACGGTTAATTAAGACAGTTTCGAGAAACAAGGAAGAATGTACGATTCGAAAGAAAAAAAGTATGCCTAAACTGCTGGTGAGAGGCAGTCGAATCCGTATAATGGAATACGCACGGGACCTTTGGGACACTGTTCTATAATCCGGAGCATTCTAAAAACCGAAACTATCCTACTGTATCGTAACGTAAATCGGGACCGTGCAATGGTATTCCATTAAGTGGAGTCGAATGTATTAGGTTATAAGAGAAATAGTGGATGGATGAGTTGGAATTCAAATTGATCTTTTGTGAGAATCGTCTTCAAGGCAGACAAAAGCATGCTATGCCATCCTTATAAAGTTGTTATTAAGTCCGCTGCATGCAAGACCATTTTTACTGCTCCGCTATCGCCACGCTTCGGTGATGAGGCGTACGCAGCAATCACAAGCCAATGGGATCATTGATGTTTCTGGAAAGAGCTGTGAAGCTGTTTCTTGTTTCCTGGCAACATGACGATGCGTAAGAATCCATTCTCTTTGTGTTCTTCTTTCCTGTTTCAGCAAGGCTGAAACAGGAAAAGAAAAGACAGTTGCATTGGTGAGGTTATCGGTTGTCATACGGGAAGGCCATTTCTACTAGTCTAGATTGACGAAATGGTAGACGATCACCACCAGTCACTTCGAAACTGGATTCGAATTGAAATTGAGAAATGTGAAACTATTCTAAATATGATTAAGTAATTGTCTTTTATGGTCGCACCTTTGTAAAATCGTTGAAGGAAGCGCTCATGGAATATATCCAAGAATGTGAAAGCCCAAGGAGGGCGAATACACGAGAGAGCTCAAGGTTGAGTGAAATTCATCTGCTGCTAAATTGAATGGTGCTCTGGCCTTGAATACTGAAGGTTCAAGTCCTCATGGAATGAGTGATCTGCTTAGGCGAGAACTACATCGCTGGAACGCTGCACACGAGGAAATAGTAGAAGAGAAATATCCTGGCAAGGAAGGGTCGCGCGAAGATCGCTGCACCCCTGCGCTCGCAGTAGAATGCGAGTGAATGTGTGACCGTGAGCATCCTTTACATGGGAAAATTCAAAGTGTGCTTCGCTGCCATTTTTCATCGAATTATGATCCTTTCCTGCTTCCGAAATTCTTGTTGAAATTTCGTTTGCATGAGCGAAATAACAGTGAAGGTAAATTTATGAAATATAAAAGCAGGTAGTTAAGATGCTGTGGCAAATATTTTAATTTCCAGCCGAAAGCATCGGCACTTTTATTCTAAGGTAACAGGTAACTTAACAAAAAGCATGTGAGGAAAAGGCGCAATATGTTGATTCCTCTTCTGATTCATAATGCCCATGAATTTGTTCACGTACAGATTCGCCTTGTCACCGTTACCCGAGGAAAACGTGTGGACTCGCAAGAATAGCTTTAAAGAATGGCATAGCACATGCCAGTATTCTTTTAAATGCCTAATGTATTTGCAGACGATTTTAGCACTCGAAAATACTGGGGAGGAGGGGGAGAGAGCATAATCCTTCAATTCTAATGTTTCACGCGGAAAGGACGTCTGGTAAGACATAACACTCCTCTGTGCCCTTCCCCGTCGTTTCTTCCGTGCGCATGTTCAATGTAAACCATGTTTTCGTTTTTTTTCCCACGGCCAAGGTTGGCGTGGGAGCCGAGACTAGGACTGGCAGACTTTCGTTGGTCAGACTGACTTGGAGTGTGGCTAATAATCGATGTCACTCTTCGTGACCCATATATCCGAGATGCACTGATGAGTGAGGAAGATGTGGACTCATCTCCCGGTTGATGAGTTGCATCGAATGAGATTGAGGGCGGGAGAGATGGGGGAGACTAGTTGGGCATGTGAAAGAAAGAGATGCTGGAGGCAGGGTAACGTCCTATAGCACCCGCCACTCCCATTTCGTGACCACTCACTCGTTCGTCTATCTTGAGACGAGTCTTCGAGAAGGCCTAGGCCTACGTGAGAGCATTCGTAATCACCAGGGGCATCATTGGCATCCTGCTACTCTCAAGAATGAGTCCTTTTAACGACGTACGGGGAAGACCTCTCTCGCTCTCCCCCCCCCATCATTCACGATCTCTTCGTGTAGGTCGGTGACGAAAATATGGGAAGGGACGTTAGTTTAACTCCCCTCATATTCGTAATCTATACCAGAATGCCAGTCTGTCTGTTAGTACGGGAACTCATCTCGGGTTGATCCCAGGTTCAAGCAAAGCAGTTGTCAATGGGAAGCTTAAAGCCTCGGAAATCCCCACATATCACCGCGATCCGACTACAAACGAGGGGGCGATGACCGATTTACAGTCTCAAGGTAGAAATTTTCTCACCTAAGTTGGCGAGTCAGCTGTACTGGTGTAGCACCCTCGCGTGCTCTGCTGTGATTCCTAGAAGGGTTCCGTGGCTATGGACCGTTTTATGTATGCCAAGTTAAATAATGGATATTTCAGCGACTCACGAACTCGAATCAATCTAAGAGCAGCTGTGAAAGGTGTGACCTTGTCTCACAAACAGGAGATGGGGGATAGTTCAAGTGGTTAGGGAAAGAGCCTTTTCTTTTGCCTTTGGTTGGAATTTTGTGCTGGGAGTAAAATGGAAGAGGGGGGGTGGTCTTGCCTACTAGGTAGTGATTCGTCATCATCTGCTTTGCACTCTACATCCTAGAGCACGGTCGGCCCAGTTCATCAACTCCATGTTATTCGGGCTCCCTTTTCTTGCAGAAGAGGAAGACGCTAAGGAGAAGGACTGGGGGAATATGAAGAGATCCTGTAATTTCCTGAAGACACAGCCGTTGAATCCGGAGATCCAGCGGAAACTTCAACTGGCTATGACAGCCCTTGCCAAGAGGCGAAATCAGAGCGGGAGGCATATATTACAGGTGAGACTGATGGCTGGGAAACTCCCACATCTCGTTCTTGTTCTCCCTCCTGTTGTGTGTCTGTGATCGGAAGCGGAGAGGGAGCGAGACCAACTCTAGACATGGTGTGAAATCGGGATCCCTCTCCCCCCGTGTAATCATGGGAAAGTTAGTTTCCTGGCGAAGGATTTACCTGCATGTCTGCAATTGATAGCAATTCAGAGCAGATAAATAGGGGAGGGTTTCCATCCTCCCCTCAGGCTCGAGATGTCCTACGGTATTATTCACGCTCACGGTTTCGCCCCTTTCCTATTATTCTTCTGACAACTAGTCTGATGGGATTCTGATGAAGTATAAAATTGAAGTAGACCTTTTCCACACGTTACGTATTTACTTTACTGGATTTCTCCTAGCATTCGTTGACACACATGCTGGAGCAGCGGCGTAGCGTCGGGGGGGGGCTTATAAAAAAAAAGAGCAAAAGTAAGAAGGAAAATCGGCAAGAAATGCGTGATTAGCAGTGTCCCAGAGTTCTTTGGCCCCTCCAATTTTTCCATCCACGCTACGCTTATGTGTTGGAGCTTTCCCGCGATGTTGAAGAAGACATGCGGATCACAACTTGTTCAGGACTCGTCTTTTAATTTTAGTCACAGGATCAGATTCCGGGGGCCCGGATGTGGCTGAAGAATGAGCCAGAAAAGCAGGCCCGAGATGGCGTCGTTTCACGAATTTACGCGTTGGAGCCACTCCAAACATTGCCGACTTTGCTTGAGGAAATGCCCGTCTCTTCCCAGACAGATGTTTGAGGCAGAGATGGAGACTTCCTTTTCCCGTCCATGTCCAGGTCATTCCCAAGACTTTCCTGCTTTTCTGTTGTAGGTCCCATCGAAGAACGGGACGGAGACATTGGAAGTTAGGATAGGGAGTGTGGGCGAAAAACGGACTCTAACGATGATCACGAGGAGAGAGAAGGTACCCACTACGTCTTTGCTCAAGAATCCCCGGAGAAGGAAGAACGAGGGGATGCTCACGACGAGTGCCCTCAGTCCTCCACCACAACCTCTTCCCGCTGCTGACGTGTTACTGGCACTCGGCAACAATCATCACCATCACCATCACCAAGTTCACCGCACCCCTATGACCGTTGTGACGTCGAGCAGGATCCCGAACCCCTTGACCTTGACGTCGTCGTCGAAGAAGCAGCACCAGGAGGTGAGCGGAAACAGTGGTAGCTGCAGTGGAAGCGACTCGGACGACAAGGACAAAGTAGTCCGAAACAGTTCAGAACGAATGCGGAGGATTCAGATGAAGAATGCTTTTGAGGAGTTGCGTGTTGTGTTGCCGGAAACTGCGAGACTGGAGAAAGCGCCCAAGTTGAGCATCCTTCGTGCAGCCATCTCTCAATGCCGAAAACTCACTGCACAGGAAGCACTTCTTCGTAAGGAGAAACTTCGCCTCGTTGCGCGCAAGAAAGCTTTGGAGAAGAAACTGAATTCTTTCGCATCTGCCTGAGTTACCTCATCTCTTGTGTGTGCGTGTACGGTGTGCGCCGTGTCTTCTCTTTTTTGGTGTCTCCTATCCTTTGTTCTCACCATAGAAGCCACTTCCCTTTTTTGTTACAGTTAGAGTCTGTGATAGTGTGTACGCTTTTGCCTTTCATATCGTTGTTTCCTTGGCTTTCTCGAGCTCGGGACGACGAATGTGGGCGTTCACATCTCCCGTTATCGTGGGGCCTCTTAGAATTTTCTTTGTATACATCCTGAGTTTCTGAAAAGTTGGGGGTCATGTGGTCCTTGGGGACCTGAAGGTACGTTGGTATTGCACAGCCTACAAGGTCACCATCCCCTCGGAAGTTTTTTTTTTCTGGGATTAGCCCTACGTTTCGTTGTTACTCGCAAGCTAGTTGGAGCTTTTCTTCCTTTTTGGAAGATCTTTACTATTCAGTGTTAAATCCGGTCTGTAGTCATTCATCAGCATCTGAAAGGTGCAAAGTTTAGCCAGGATTGTGGTAGCTTCCTCGTTTTGTTTTCTGAGTGGGGTATTTTGGGGTTGTGGGATTGATCCTCAAGTGAGATGTAACGGAAAGCATAATGGTAGCCTGGAAATGTGACAAGTCCTCCATAGTATCCGAATCAGTTAGGAGTGTCGTTTATGTTTCTCAATGACAACATCGAGTACTCATGTGCCTTTCCTTCTCCTTAGCCTTTCTGTCTCGCTCATCTTTTTTCTATCTCGAGACTGAATTTTTTCTTTTGTGAGTTTTCCTCCAACACAGTGCAAATACAGTATATCAGAGGACAAGTCTGAAATGGACTTGGGTTTTCTTTTTCTTTCTCGTTCGCCATTCCGCGAGGTTCCATGATCGGCCTTGACCTTCCCGCCAGAGAATCGGGAAGAAAGGCGTAAAGAACCTGTATTTCCAGTTCCCCATGCTAATCGAAAGAAGGAACTTCGGGAATGCACGGACAGAAGGTGAAACTGGAGTGCTTTAAACAAGAGAGGGGCTTTTCACTTCCGAGAATAGCCAACGGAGATGATCCGGGGAGGGTTTTTTTTCGGGAAGGCATCCTGCCGGCGACGCCAGATGGCTTGAGGGCCCCAACGCCTGCTTCCTTCACTTTCGTTCCACTTTAACCATCCTTCAGGGTAATGAAGGAACAACTGAAGATTCCCCATCCCGTCTTTAGACCATGACAACTAGTGAAGCCTTTCAAGGTGACGCAAGAAAATGAACCCGTTGAGGAAATTATGACTTTTGAAGAGTGTGCTACTATTTCTAGAGCATATCTTGATCTTGGTGAAACAGAAACCGAAGAAAAAACACAGCCGAGAAAGCCCAAATAAATAGCGGGAAATTCGAGAGGGAAGCGGCGCTTTGCTTTAATTTTTGTTAATGACTTTATATAGATATCATAAGATACCGCACTGTCAAAGCCAGAATTTATTCCTTCATCCTTCCGACAACCAGACTGTAGGAGCCCGACTTTTTTGCTGCACAGACCGATGATCCATCGAAAGCCTAAAAGAGGAAGGAGAAAGGAATTTAATTCTGGCCGAGACTGCACCAAGCAGATGAGACAGACGTCGGATAATTTGAACCCCTTTCTTGCTTTTTTTTTTCAAGAACAAGAAGCTTTAAGGAACAGTTATCTCTGAGGACTGTGAGATCATGACAATACAGGCAATCTTGCGTAATGGCAATCACCAAACGAGAATGAGTATGATCACTCTGGATACGGAAAAGGTATACGAGAGACAGGGACACGAGGATTGAGTGGAATCGAGAGAGGCATGAGAACCCAAGCAGAACACCCCACCTCTCTTTCGGAAATGAATCCAGTCCCCTCCTCATACCTTCCTACAATCTCATCAAATTTCTAATTAAGTTTACTCTAGGGTCCCAGGTGAAGGGAACGAGAAGTGTTAGTAGGTCAGGCAGAGTCCTATCGTGTGCTTGAGCCAACCCATGGGTTTGTCGATGTAATGCCATGAGTCACGCCCTGTTAGGTCATGAACGGATTAATAGCTCTTTTTTGTGGAAAGGGAATTCCGGGGTGAAGATCGCATTCGTCAGATTTCTGTCTCGTAAGTGTCAGAGCCCTCCTCCAGGCTACTCATGATGCAGATCAAGTCTCACAGAACCCCATAATGGCATGACTTATGGGTTCACGTGCCGGAATGCGGGTTTGTCGTGACCGAATGACCGCCCTTGAAAACATCATACAAGATGCAAGTTTTCACGAAGGCTTTGCAATAGTAGACACGAAGAAGGAAGGGGTCTCTGGTCCGGTTCCGAGATCTACGTCCATTGGATTTCTGGAAGGTTTACATATACACGTAATATATACCTTTTGGAATGAGGGACGAACCCCAGTCCGCAGATGATCTGGGAGAGTTGGGGGTAGCCAGGTGTGAGACCGAGATGCAGCTGGGAAAAGACCATAGTCAGTCATAACCTTTTTGCATCTCTACCTCCTTCCCTCCTCGGATTACGAGGAGGGATTCTCATAAAAGAAGGGTTCTAGCACTGTGTCTACAGTATATCCACAAATAGCTCTTCCGGTCCTTACAATAGAGAGAGATATGGTTTCGTGTTCCCCTGCTCTACGGGAACGTGCCGGAAGGGGGAAACGAAAATTCAAATGGGTCTGGATGCAGATACCTCTCGTGTTCTTTTTTTTTTTTATTCTGATGGAAGGACTTAGGAAGTCATGTGTCAGCAGGATGTGCTACGCACATTCGTTACTCCGTAATTGCCATCCCTGGATTGGAAGAGAAACGCGGATAGCATATGTGACATCTCGCGGGGGGGTGCCTGCCTCTTCTTCCTTCCCCACATACGATCTTCCATGGTTTTGGAACCATCCCTTCGCGGATCTCTATCCGGCACACTCGAGTTGCTCTTGCGGCTGGTCTCAAAGAGACATGGTCATTACAAAAGACAAATTGGGACACAGAGATTTCAGGGGGCGGAAAATATCCATCAAAACGGACTTCTTTTCTCCATTGTGTCTCCTTCTTTCTCACGTTCCTGCCTCAAATTCTAAGAATCTTAACCTTACGGGATAATAGCACCTCCTGCTGTTGTTAGAGGGACTTCATCATCCCAGCATCCTCTTCCATGAAGTCCAAATTGAATAACATGTCATTGTATATCACCTGTTCATGGGTCTGAAAGAATGTATTTTTGGTGGCACCTGACAGGTGTTCCCCACATAACTATTGTGCAACACACAAATGCGAGCACGCCATTGTCATCCAGTAGCAGCCAATACGGATTGGATCAGAGAGCAACACCTGCTCCAAAATAATATATTCGCAAAATGATAATAGGCCAGGTTCCTGGAACTATCGGTGGGTCTTCTCCGGCAATTCGCGTGTTTTTTGTTGTGCCATTTTTACATCACGAAAAAAGACATTAATTCCTTGAAAAAAAAAAAACTGCCGTTAGCTTCCTCAAGGTCATTATTACGAAGAAGCGTCATATGGTCATAATAAGGGCAAGAGACCTTGGAACTCTTTGCCCTAATTTCGATGGGAACTAACGATATGAACAACTGGTCTCCCCATTGTATACTGCATCGCGTGAGCGAAGAAAGGGACGAAGCAGGCCCAGACAGGCAACATGCGTGTACGTCCATATCGTACGTTCTACGCAAGCCGTCCCTAACCGAGAATGGAACAGTAGAAGGGCAAGGTAGGAAGGAACTCGGAGAGAAGCCCCCGTCGCCCCCATTGTGAAACTAGGAGGGAAATGGCCGCCGGCGCCCGCCTCACAGCACTCAAGGACGCTTCCTTCTGTCATAGTCATCGTGCTGAGTCGGATCTCAATGGAGACGGAGCCCTTCACGGGCCTCGCAAGGAACCTTCTCCCGCTGTAAAACAAAGAAGCGATTGAAAGGGATTGTGCAACCCTCTCTTCCCCCCTGGTCACAGATACTCGCCGCAACGTTACCATGTATTTTTCTCCTCTCTCTCTCTCTATTCCCTCTTCTGCAGCGAACTCAAATGTATGTAAACAGACCTCTGCATTCATCTCCGTTACCTGTGACTACTGTAGAGAAGTTTTTACAACTGACCGAAAATGTAGGCTTTGTTAGGAAGGCGCAGGCAACACTTATGTTCTAGAACGTATTCTGTGGTCGCAGCTTAGACCCCCCCGGCTACTACGAAGGGGGGCGAGAAGGCTACTATGAAGGGGGATTTAAATGTCTTTAGTTTTACGTGACCAGTGGGGGATGAAGGAAACAACACGGTAAAGGGTCCCCCTGGGGGAAAAGGCGCGAGGAGGGGACGGACTTCCTAGTGGAGTTGGACAAAGCAAAGTCCTGTCGCCTCCTCTCCTGGCTGTCACGTGCAAGGGGGAAGCCAAAAAGTGCAGACACGGCTCCTCTTGTCCGATGGAAACATCGACGGGAGTGGGTCGAGGGGTGAACGACGGGAGGAATTCGAGGAAAGCAAATGTCTTTCCTCATTAGGTAGATATATATCTGAGGCAAGAGCGTCGGCAGGCCCTATACCTTATTAGTCGGGAGAATGCGATTCCCTGCTCCATGACAGTCCCTTGCCCCTTTCCCTGACAGTCAGTAATTTTCGGGCATAAAAACCAGCTTGAAATCGGAGTGTCGACAAACCGATGACGTACGACCGACAACACAATAGGAAGTATCGGCTCTATTCTCTCTTTTTTTCCCATCCGTTGAAGGCGAGGCGAAGACGCTATCTTTCCTTTGTGTGTTCCGGGCACCGGGGTTCTTGGAAAACGCCTCCCCAGGAGCGCCACTTCATGGAAAGAGAGGGGGAAAGGGGGAATATCGCCTCCTAACATGCCAAGTGCAAATGAAGACGGTGTACTTGCGTGTATCCAGGCCTAACAATCCACCGGATTTTGGCAGTCTTGAAATTCACGACAGATCATCTGAATTCATAGATACAGAGGCGTCTTCTAATACTTCCAAGAGATTCATGCAGGAGCCCGAGGACAATACCTCGCTCAACGACCTGTTTTATTTTTAGACTTAAGAGCAGGGCAGGAGGACTGACCTCGGGTCAATTAAAATTCCGTTCCTCGCTCCACATGACAAATAGCATGAGCTCGTGAAAGAGAGGAGCTCTTAGTGAAAGAAGCAAGGGGAAATCGACTAGATTTGGACGCAAGGTTATGTGATACCGGCGACGGAAGTGGGCAATGGGCGATAGCGATGGAGATGCTTATAGTCGACGTGGAGGGGTGACAAGATCATTGTGCTAGCAAATACAGGGCAAGCTTATCTACCACAGCTTGAATGACATCTTTCCTGGAAAACCCTTGGGTACAGGGGTATACTAATCTCTCGAGTTGATCCATTCACTGCAAGAGCGTCGTTCCACCTTTTCTCAACGCGTTCTCCCTTGTCGAAAAGCCGAGATTTATGATCACCATGCTTGAAACGCCGCCGCTCTTTGAAATGTACGGCGCCGTCCGGATTTCACCGCGCATGTGGGGCCAATGCATGACTTACTGTATTCCTAAAAAAAAAGAAGAAAAAAAAGGTGGTTAGAATCTGATCCCTGATCCCTCCCGGAGACCGGTGAGTAGGGGGAGCAAGGAGGGAGGGGTGATATTTGAGGAAGTGCGGAACATCTCACTCGGCATCAGTTTGCCCCCTACTTCCACGTTCGAAGAGGGGGGAAAGTCGCAAGTGAAATATGTGCCAAGGCGGAAAACAAGGAAAGCGCTTCGGCAATATCTGCCTCAGTGAAACAGCGCTAAATATCTTTATTCTTTCCAGCTGCCTAGAAGCCCCAACGCCCTCAGGA